GACATTTAAAAAAACTAAAAGATGCCCTTCTTCTTGCCGAAAACTGTGCATAAATCTTTAATCTCTTTCCTTCAATTTTAATGTACGCCCTAACTCATTCGTCGAATAAAATCGACTTGGATCTGCATAACTCTTGCTGCAAATGTTCACGCCTTCTGTCTTGATTATTGGCAGTCATAATTTGGTCATGCATACGCGTTGGCAACCAGCGTTACAGTCGCACATTTGAATTATTCGAGTTATTTCGCGCTACATTAAGTTGGTTACACTCGCACAAAAGAGCTACAGATCCGAGTATACGGAAGGGGGCACACACTCACACTCACACAAAAGAGAGGCCTTGCTGGCTTTATTCGAATGCGATAATTCATACGGGCATTTCCTTGGCCATCTCCAGTGCAGATTTATCTGACTGTCTGACGAGCTCTCCATCTTACTCTCTCTCTCGCTCTCTTTCTCTCTCTTTCTGTGTCTGGTTATTCCCCATTTTAAATGCCACATTTTCAGCTTTTTTCCGAAATAAAGTTTTCCGTTCCGACTGATTCAGTGTTTGCTTATTCCTTATTTTTGTGCGTGCGTGTGATTTTTGTATGATTTTCCAGAACTCTCTCTCTGGGTGGCGACAACCTTTTTGCGAACAGTTTTAGCACCCATTTGTGTGTTTGCCTAAGAGGCATGTTTGTGTTTTTGTGTGTTTTTGTGGCTAGTGCACATTTTAATTAAAAAATATTAATAATTAACAGGGCAAACAGGCAAACGGGTCTCAAAGCGATGCTGAGTGTATCGGAGTGGCAGTGGGAGTGGGGCGCGTGGATTCGGTCGCTTTGGTCACATAATTTCATATCTGCGTAAAGTACATTAAAGGAGCATAAAAATTCATTACGCAGCGGCGGCGGTGGCAAAACAGCGCTGGCAGTTGCCCAAACAAATTATCGTTAGCCAAGTTAAAAGGCAAATGGCTACGGCACTGGCACTGGCACTGGCACTGGCATCAGCAGCAGCCTACAAGCCATGTCCACATCAGGGAAAGCGAAAGAGAGTGAGGGAATGGCCACGGGGGCACACTGCAGCCCAAACAGCCCGGCCAACGGCCACGCTGAGAGCAAGGAAAACAAAAACTGTGACACACCGCAGCCCAAAAAAATGTACAACAATCCCCCCGCGCGACCATGTGGATGGTTGTGGATGTGGATGGGTATGTGCCGGCACTGCTGTAACTTTACTGATGCTGTAAGCTGTAACCAGAGGCTGCAGTCCCCAGCCTGGTACTTATTTTCATTATCTGACACACCTATTTAAAAATGTAAGTCTCCAAGTGTGACCCCCATTAGGTGGCGCCTAAAAGCCGGCCGAGCAGGTCGGTCTGAACGGACATGCATATATAATTTACTTATTTAGCTTTTTAGTGGGTTTTTTTTCGGACAAAAGTCCGGGGTCGTCTTCAGCTTGCGAACATGAAATTATTTAGTGGCAGTTTCTGCCCTTCTGCAGGGCAGCCATCAACGTCCCCTACAAATCGTCCCAGGAGGCGCTCAAAACTGTCAGCCATTGGGTGTTGTCCGAAAAGGTGCTTGCTCACAGCTTCACCCGTGGATTGTCCATCTCTGCAGCATCACCATTACATTCTTCACCTCTCTATGCAAACATTTCCCTAACTTCCCGCATAGCTTTCCACCATCGTTTTCCCCCAAAATTCATTCCCTTTTTAGTTGTCCTTTGTTTTCGGCAGTTAAAATCTTGAAAGGGACTTTCCATGACCCGTCTGACTCTCTGTTTCTGTCGAGAAGTGGTATGTTTGCTGTGGTTTGCTCTTTCCTGGGTTTGATTGGGGCTCGAGGCTGATTAGATTTTGCCTGAAATTAAGGTAAATTAACAGAGCTTACAGGGTAAGCTACAACAATAATAGGATATAAAGGTTTTGGGAAGACATCAATTATGTGTGGTCATTCTTGAACTATTAATGTGAATGAGTAAGACAGGGATCAATGAAAAATAATCACTCTTAACTATAACCTGTATCTACAATGGAGCTCCAGAGGAGCTGAATTCAGCTGCTTGAAACTTAAGTTCTGATTTAATCTCTTCGTTCTCCAACTGCTACCCTAATTTCCTGCTTGCACCACCGTCAAGCTCATTCCAACCTCAAGTCTGGTGCTGTCATCCTCCACGGAATATCAAGTATACGCTCTGTTGTGTCCACACTCCTCGGCGACGGGTGCGGCCCTTCACTAAATACCTTAATTGGCTTTAACAATGCCTTAATTTTCTGCTTATATGTTTGAGGGGGCAGACAAGTGCTGGGATTACAGCAACAACAATAGTACCCAATGCGCCATTGTTCTGTCGTCCCTCACACAGATTCTCATACACACAGACAGCATACTTATGTGCATGGTCACAGGTCACACTCACACAGTCGTGCACTCCATTATAAGCAAATATTTTTAGCCTCATTTCAGCTAAAGACGCTTAAGCACGTTATAACTTTCCCCCTGATGAGGTTGTTGTTTCTGCCAAGCACTCATACAATCATACATACACTCGCAAGCACACGGACAGACACACAGATACAAAAGTGGTGCTGATTTACCTAACAAGCGCAGCTCGAAGAACAAAAGGCAAAAGTCAACGCGATGGAAAAGGGAATCCTGTTGTTGTTTTCATTTAAAGTGATTTAAAAAATTCAAAGGGCAATTGTTAGGACAAACACAGTTACACTCACGCATACACACACACACACAAACACACATACAACAAAAAGAATCAGCCCTTGTCCATCAGAGACAGAGTAACAGAGAGAAAGAGTCCAAAGAATGGAGCTCTCGGCTCGCCTTTTGCATCGCTCTGAAGGGAGACATTGCTTCTTATTGTTAACGTCACTTTGGTTGCTACGGTTCTTGTTCCCTTTCTTGTTGTTGCAATTGTTGGTACTGCATTTAAACACATGCAACACACACATACACACACAACCACCCATACATACAATATGTGTAAGGAATAGTAAAAAGGGTACAAAAGACACTCAAAGCCCGTTGTCCGCTATCCACGAATTCGCTGCCGTTGCCCCTTTCACACACTCCGACGACTCGACCTCTCACTCTCACAAGGCAGGACAGGGACTTACATATTGTGTGCCAGTGTGTGTATATTGTGTGAAGCTAATTATACCTAGTAGTAGTAGTCCCTTAGGGCATTCCTATTGTATTCGAGTAGATTTTTGTAATAGAAAAAAAAATAGGACATTATGCAATGTTTAAAATCATAAATACTTGTAAAGGTGTGGCCTAAAAAAGTATCAAAGTTTCATCGCTTATATAAACCAATCCTAAATAGCGGGTATATCACAGTCGAGGTACCGACTGGATTATTCTCCTTTGCACTTTTGAAAAATACGAGCAGAACAATGATAATGTCGCATGCTAAATTACATGCAATTATGTATTTTTACTTCTATTTTTCTGCTGGCTTTTCCCCATTTACTCCCCGTTCCGTGAAACATTACCTCAACGCCCTGTCACCGCTGTCAACGCCAAAGTATGTTAATAACAAAAACAATAGCAACAAGAACAAGGATACAAGGATACAAGGATACAAGAAACAACGCGAATGAAGGGGAATACCAGGTGACTGCAACTGACACTGCATCTTGCCGTTTGTTATCCCTGGATATAATTATGGCTTGGAAATGGCTGAAGGGGGAAGAATAGTTCCGATGTACATATGTCGATGTGGTTAAAGGATACAAGAAATACTATTAAAAGCTACATACCAAACCTCACTCTAACCCAGCGCGAGAGCTAGTGCCAACAGAATGGAAACCCTTCTCACATTTCCTGACATTTGACTGTCTCGCGTCTAACATTCGCCACCTATGCGTGGGATTCTCAAACTGTACGAATACCATCTTCTCAATTAAGTTGGCATTATGCAAGTCAAATTTTTCTGTGGTTGGATTCGTGTTCAAATCTGATTGACTGAGAATTTGAAGAGTTAATTAGACCCAAGAACTGAAGGGAACGTGCCAGTGAAATAATTTCAGCGTAAAGGCTTTTCAGATATTCTGCTAATAACAGTCCTGAGTATAACAGTTTAAGGCAAAAGCCCATAAAAATACTGGGAATTCTGCGGCTAGACAGCATAAAGACCATTCTTCGAAACTGCTCGAAAGACATGTAGCGGCAAAGAGAAATTAACATAATAGGGGAATTTCCAAGAGTTGATAGGGAATATATTTTACAAATATTTAAGAATAATATTCTGGTTTAAATTTACAATATTTTCATTATATTCTTATTACATTTATGTGACCTAAGAAGCTCAATGAAGTCATGGTCTTCTGTTTGAATTCAAATTTGGCTGGGAATTTCCGCAATTCCTCTGCTTGAACCAGCTCGGATTCTGCGCCTTGTTTCGAATCTGACATCGAAACCGAGCCGAAAAAGGACGAGGCACACGACCACAGGACACGACGGCGTTGTGAATGGCGCCCGGAGCGCAGCGCCGGCGATGTGATGATGCCGACGAGGAGGGACAGAGAGCCGCATGAGACAGCAGCAGCAGAAGGAGCAGCACGTAGACACTGGCGAGAATGGGAGCGAGCAATTCGTGAATATTTCATGAACGAACGCGTCACGGAGCGACGAGAATAACGGTATTCGGTCGCAAATGGTACTGTAAACGATGGCAATGGCGGCGATGGCGACTCGTTCTCGTCCTCGGAGAGAAATGTAGGGAAACGCATCCTGTCGTTGTCGTCGCCGACGTCGCCGACGTCGCTGTCGTTGCCGCCGTCGTCATTATCGTCGTCGGCAGAAGGAAAATCGCCTGGCTCTGGTCTTCAGCCGTTGCCGTTGCCGTTGCCACCGCCACCGTCGTCGCTGTTTGCTCTTGCTGCCGCTGTGCTGTCGTTGCCGTTGCCGTTGCAGTGGCAGTGGCTGTGGCTGTGGCAGCAGCGCCTCTGAATTTTTGGCCAATGCGTGTGCTGCTGGCGTTCAGTAAGAAAAGCGTCGCCCAGCGGTCTAGTACGAACGTATACCGAACGCTTTGTGTTCTTCCTGTTCTTTGGGTTCCACCTCCGTTACCGTATAGACGACGTATATCTGAAGAGAAGAGATACGAGTGGTGTGTGTGTGCGTTGATCTCGTCTCTTTTTGGTTCCGGTGCGTTACTCCAAAAGAAACAGAAAATCTGAAACTGCGAACTGCGAACTGCTCTTAAAAGCATTAACCATAATGGCAAATTATTTGTGGGGGAAAGTGCTCTACAAATGATCTATTGAGATCATATCATGAGATCACGCCTGCCTTACTTCTATTATTATTCTGATCCATAGTCTGTGATGTCTTTAAGCCCAGTTTCCCACTGAGGGCTTCCACTGTCAGCCACAAACTTTTTGGGCGACTTTCATTAAACTTTGACAAATGTTTTCAGATGATTTTCCTTCAGTCGGTGACTTCTAAAGTTCGCTGCAAATTTGCGCGCGACGAAACTCATTTGTGGAAGCTGCCGGCTAAATAATTGCCAGCAATTCCTCTTCTGGGAAACTTTAGAAACCCAATTCCATTCGCAATAGATTTTTTTTTTTATATTATTATTATTTTCTACTCCACTCGTTGCATGACATTCGAATAGCAGACATTCAGACCGTCTCGTACGAGATGTTCAAATGACAGGAATATTTATAATTTCCGCTAGGGGTTCTGTGTCAGTAGACACAACAGCAACTAGGGATATAATCGTTGGATATAGAGTGGGAGAAATAATTTGCGATTACTGGCAGGCAGAAGGCAGCTGAAGAAATCCATGAAACGATATCCAACATAACGAAACGGAACGGAACGGGCCAAAAGAAATTACAAGCCAAGTGCGCTTGAGTTCGTGTATTTCCGGTTGAACAAACACATAAGCGAAACATAAAAGAAAGGCGAACGAAAATTATAAAAATACTCGTAATAAGTCAGAGCAGAGCAGCACATGCGAGACGAACACGGCCAGAACCAGGACGAGCCGTAACGCAACCAGAAGGAGCAGAGCAGCCAGAGCAGAGCCATCAGCATAAGGCAAAGGCCACAAGGAAAAGCTCGAAAAGTGAAAATACATAGAGAGTCGGCAACTAGCAACCAGCAGCCAGCACCCAGCAGCGAGCATATTTCATAAGTTTACAGGAGCAACACTCGCACTTATATATATATAAAACGATATATATACATAGAAGTACATAAGTATATATATATTTAAGAAAGCCGGGAGCGAGCCAAGAGAAAGCAACCCATAGAACTAGCCAAAGCAAGAGCCAGTGCCACAGTCATTGCATATGTGAGACGGTGGCGACAAAGGCGAACCCACGACCTTTGGCACACAGTTCAGGCAACTGCAGGGAGAGGTCAGCGAATCAATTGAGGAGTCGAGAAACAGCGCGCAAAAGCCCTAAGGCCGCCTGGATATAGAACACCCGTAGAAAGCGACCAAAATTCACTCGCAAATTATGCTGACCATGTCCACTCTGATGATGCCAGCACCGACTATAGCTATGGGTGCACCGCAGATCACAATGGGCCCCCACAAGCCGCCGGAAACGAAGCTCCTGGCCATCCATCCAGCAGCAGCTGCTGCCGCAGCCGCCCAGCAGCAACAGCAGCAGCAAACGGTGACAGCTGCTCATCTGCAGCACAATGGCCAGCAGCAACATTCCCAACAGCAGCAGCAGCAAATGTCGCAACAACAGTCGGCACTGCAGCAACAGCAGCAGCATCAGCAGATGGTTGGCAGCAACTCCAAGCCAGGTGAGTGCGGATAGGATCTGGACTGTCAATAGTTTTTTTTTTTTTTTTGGGTGGGGAGTGTCCTCTGGCTGGCGTGGCATTAGTCGCCTCCGGTAATGGTGTTGCATAAATTAGGAAATGTCGTTTCCATTTCAACCCGAGAACGTGTCTCAAATGGCCTAGTCGATGGTGCCAATGAATCGATTTGGTCCTGGGAAATTTGAAACCACTTTTCAAATGACACACAGTTTCATTTAAGTGTTTTATTGATCGATACATACTAAAATAATAAATAAATAATTCATAAATAAACTTGGAACATTTATACTTTTAAATGAAATTTATAACTTTATCGATTCAATATATAAAAATTGTCAAGATTTTTAAATCATATAGAATTGATTTCCTCCGCTTTATTATTGACTAGTATAATAAAATATATATCAAGTACATTTTGTCATCTGCTATTGCAACTATTTTTTTTTTTATTTATGTCCCAAATTTCTACTAAAATATAAGAGAAAGACCAGCCTTTAATTATGATTTTTGGCCAGTCCCTTGGTAAATTTCAAAAATGAAGAGTCACTGACAAATAATTCTGGCCACACACAACATTTTTCAATGAAAAGACATTCTCTGCCACGTCTAAACAAAAGTCTACCTTTGACTAGAAAACAATTAAAAGTATTCCACACAGAGTACCTATATCTATGTAAACAAGAGCTTAAGTATTCCAGCCCATGTGCCGACAATAGCCAAGCAATTACATTTCTAGACAGAAGACACCTGAAGGCAATGTATCTGTGTAGGAAAAGTCTATCATATTTATAGAAATTTGTATGCGTCATAGGGCGAAATCATCTAGGCAACACATTAAATTAATTGTCTCCCTCCTGAGAGGCATAGGAAATTTTTAGAATTCCAATAAAACTGAATTTTCAGAGAAATAGTATTACTTTCGGATATTTTTGAAAGGGGGAACATTTTCGATGCGGCAGCAGGAAACCTCAAGCTCTGCTCTGGCAAATGCCAAGCGAATGACCAAATTCGTACACGTAATCCGAAAATAACAAAATTCGAACACGCATTTCCAAGATGAATTATTGTGGACAGGCTCCCTCCGTCCTCCAACAGCAGGCAGGGTCCTGGGAAGCCCCAAATGTCAAGCGGAGGCATTACAAGCATAAATATCAGTTACAATTTTCATATTTTTAGCCACAAATGAAAAATTTGATACAGCCTCAAAAGAGCTTGGTATGGGGACTGCCACTGCTACTGCCACTGGGACTGGCACTGGGACTGGGACTGGGACTGGGACAAAGTAAGGAAATTGCATAGTCGAAGAGATTTACAACTTAAAAACAACTTAAGCCGAAACTTGGAAACAAAAAGCGAGCCGAAGCAGGGAAAGGACCAATACCAGTGCAGAGGCTTTTCTCCGAATGTTAGCTAGGCCTGCCACAGCTCCAGGATCTCCTACAGCCTGCGCCTGCCACATCGTGACTACGGTTGCTAATGGCAGAAACTATACAGAAATAGACACTGGCAGGCATAAAACCGGAAGCAACGGCACAGGAAGCTGCATGAAAATGAAACGTTGCCAACGAGATGAGCCTCCTCCTCCGCCTTCTGACTTTCGACTGTAATGAAAAATGGAAAATGACTACTAAAAATAGTGGAAACGAGTGTTGTGTTGGTATATTTTGTGTGTGTGTATGTGTGTGTGCTTATTTGTGTGGCTGTGTGGCTGTGTGTCTGTCTATCTGTTCTGTCGTTCTGTTCTCAAAAGCAAGGCAAGAGCGCAACTCGAAAACGAATTTAATTATGGCAAAAAAGTGAAAATTTCCACACTTGAGTCTGAGAAGTTTGCCTTAGCCCCAGGAAGTGGTCGGAATGGGTTGCAGATTGGGATGCGGCCGGAACTATAGCGGGAGCCGAGACCAAGACCAAGACCAGGCCCAGCACCAGGCCCAGGCGTTGATGAGCGTGAAAAGTGTGAGAAAATTACTAGACAACACAAGGCGAGGCATAAATAAGAAAACCGACAACCCCAACACCTAGTCGGGGTGAAAGTGAAGTGTCTGCCAGTCTGGCAGTCTGAGCATTGTGTAAGTTGGCTTAATGCGAGACGGCTTAGAGGAGAACAGAGGAGACTAGAGCAAATGATGGCCAGAAAAACCCCCGTTAGTTTCTTTGGTTTTGGTTGGGTAGGGAAATGGAAATGATACGAGGACAATTGACTTGGAGATGAGACCACTTTGTTACTAATTAGCAGAGTTGGAAAAAGTCGACGGTCCCACACAGAAAAGCAAACATTGATTACCAGGCCAAATGATTGCAAATTGAAAATTAAGCACGCCGCTGAATTTCCAATTCAAATGGGGAAAAAGCGACGGTATGCAGACGGTGGAAAGCTGCCGGCAAACAGACACATGCATATAAATTTGTATATGTACGTATTCAGTGCCAGGACCAAGACCAGTACCACTACCACTACCAGTACCAGTAGCACTAACAGTAGTGGCAGAGGCACACGGTGCATGAACTTTCGAGCAGCACTTCTACACGGAGAGAGAGAGATAGACAGAGAGAGAGGCAGTGGCAGGTTACACCTACATGCCGCTGCAAAAACAAACAGCGACTGCGAGTTTTGTGAAGTGTCGCAACTGCAACAGCAGCAGCAGCAGCGACAGCAACAGTACCGGCAGAACCTGCAGCAGCCACGCCAACAAGTGCCACAGTAGTGGGCTGTGGAAAGAGACCCATCCACAGCAGCCCAACAACATCCACAGCTACAACAATAATTGCCAACTACAGTGCCAGTTCCTTTCTAGAGAGAGGTAGTTCCTAAAAGAAGATTGGATTCTTGCTGAAAATTTGCAAGAATATGGCTGCTTCTCTCACCATTAGATCTCTAGGTTTCTTAAAATTCAAACTCCAAGTCTCCATCGATTTCCAAATAGTTCTTCTATATAAAGCTTATCCTCTTCATCTCACCCGAGCTATTTCCATCCTAATTATATCTGGCAATGCTTCTGTGTACTTAATTTTTGGATCTACTGTTTAACTATTTTAAACAGGTTACATTTTCTGTTAAGAAAGTACTATCACCCAATTCGGTATTTCCGCTGAGTTTTGGTGAAATGTGCGTCAAATCCTTTGCAGCCAATTCCCACTGTAGGACGTAGCACTATTATCTGCTCTTGCCGGGGCACTGGCTGCCGCTCTCTGCACTTGGCTGTTTTTCTTTGCCGTCAATTGGAAGAAGAACTACCAGCAAGCAGCAGCTAGGAGTACGAGAAGCGCGCTTTACTTTCGCTCAGGCGACGGCGACAGGAAAACTTTTAAATTGGTTGGCAACACTTGCAGCTTACACACACACAAGCACACAGACACATATAAACACACCCACCCACTAACAGTCACATGCATACTTAATGTTTGTTTTGGAAATGAATTTGGCAATTTTTGTACTGCACTGCGGGAGGTGCTGGGAGGATTGGTGTTTGGTGAGTATGGGTGTGGGTGTTGGTGTTGGTGGGATGCAGTAGGGGAGGAGTCACCGTCTGAGTGGCAAAACGGAGGCGAGAGACAGCCAGGCAACACCTCAAAGTAATTTGCCAGCAAATCATTGGAAAGAGTCGACTCCCCACTTCCAAGCTTCAGGCCAACGAAGGAGCAGAGCAACGCTACGGCATCAGCCGAAAAGTATGCAATGCCGATTGCGATACATACAAACATGCATGCACACAATCATAGATGGTATACACTCGGAGAAAAAATACGAAATATCGCATATTAATAAAAGATTTGCTTAATTGGGAGCATTTTGAAGTCCGAATGTTTTGATAAGCTGAGAAATATACTGAGATACTGAGGGGATGGAATAGAGATTGATTCAAATATATTTAAACAACTCAAATTTCAGAAATTTTTTTGTTGGTGTACGTTCATGTGGGCATGTGTGTATATGTGTGCGTAAAAAACCACTAAAGTGAAATGCATTTATCGACCGCAAAGCGTTCGAAATGAAATCTGTTTAAAGGATTTCAATACCCCAGCAAGAACGTGGAGTCTGTGTAAGGAATCGAACTGGTTGGTGGCTTGCTGGCTGGCTGACGGGCTGGAAGGTGGGATGGGTGTCTGTATGGCTGCATGGTTGGGTACTGGGGGGTGGGGGATGGGGATGGGTGGGTGCTATACGGGTGGAACACAAAAAGTCAATGAATTCGTTTGGCGAATTGAAAAATTAATTCAGTTGCCGTCGCTGGCATTGATAAGGAGAAGCCGAGCAGGAAAAACTTTTACACGCCGCTTTCATTTTATGTGTCTTTATCTTAACGCTCTCTCTCTCTTTCTGTGTGTGTGTGTCTTTCTCGCTCTTTTCCTGATAAAGTGTGCGTGTGTTTGTACTTACTCACACACTGGCAAGCTTTTTACTTACTAATGATTTCTCATTTCGCTTACGGTATTTCTCACTGGTATTTGTGCTTTTTGTCTTACTCTGCGTTTTACAGCTACACCGATATACACATACATACATATATACAGTAGCACGAGTAAATCCTTCAGGGATACAGAACCACCCAGCCACCCATCTGGGACTGAGGCCAAATTACTCACTGACGTTGTTGTGGATTTTCCCTCATTTTGCCCCCAAACGCTTTTCCCCTTCACTGGCAACGGCAATGGCGATGGCAACGGCAACGGCAACAGAAACGAAGAGCGAAGGAAATTAAGCAAAAAGCGCAAAGATTTATTTCGCTTTGATCAAAATTAAATGAATTGATTTTAATACGCCCCGTGGGCAAGATATTTCCTACGCTTTTGCAAATGAAAACGCATAAAAAAGGTGTTGGTTGCCCTTGTGGGCGTGGTCCTTCCCTCTGTCGCCGGTTGCTGGTCGCTCGTCCTGGTCTTGGAGCTCGTTGTGAGCTTTATTTTATGCCAGCGGCCATTACAATTGAGTAGCTTTAGTCCTGCTTCAGTGTGTAGACGTATCTGTGTGGCCCATTTGCATA